CAAGCATACCCATAGTCAAAGCTATGCGCAAGACGTCAGATTTGCATTTATTCCTTTAGTTTTGTACTTTAAACTACCTCAACGGACACGAATCCCTTTAGACATGAAAAATCTTTAATCTTTTTTTGTTCAAAAATTCAATGTATAACATGGATGCATAAACGCCAAATTTTATTGCAGTGTTAAAGTCTGTTTAACGTAACAGATTATAATCAAAAATGTTTTTGAACCTTTACTGGTTGATCATTGTCTTTATTCAGACCCCGCTGATTTTAATTGGTTACCCTGCACTAAAGGGAAAAACGGGTATTGACTATGGGTATGCTGGTCTGACCGGGTATGCTCATCTGACTGAACACCACCTCTGTCCTAGGCTGCACCCTGGACTCAGTGGAGGAAGTGGCTGAGAGGAGGGTGGTGTCCAAGCTTCCATCCATCCTGGATAACACCTTCCACCCTCTGCACCAGACTGTAGAGGAGCTGATCAGCTCCTTTAGTTAAAGACTTTTACACCCTGTTTGTAAAAAGGAGCGCTACAGCAGGTCATTCATCCCTGCTGCAACCAGACTCTACAATGCGACACTACAACGGCTATAACCTGTGCAATGTATAATGTGCAATTCACCATTTTATACCCTGTGCAATAACCTATTTCTCTATATTTGACACCCAGTGTAATAACTGTATATAAATATAAATATCCATCTATATAAATACCCGTGTAAACACCCTGTGCAATACCTGTTTCTCTATATTTGGCAGCCAGTGCAATAAATATAAATATAAAAACATCAATCCATATAAGTTCCAGTGTGAACGCCCTGTGCAATGACCCGATATAATGATCCTGCTATAAAAATAAAAAAAAAGCTGTCATAGGTTAACGCACGGTATATACTGTATATATCCCATGTATCTTTTTCTTCCTTTGGCACATTCTTCTTTGACTATTTGAGCTGATGAAACCAGTAAATGTCTGCACTTTGAGTCAATAAAGTCAATTAATCAATAACAAAACGGTGGATAGAATCACTGAGGATCAAACCATCATGTTTATCATCCAGACTCACAGTATTAAAGGCAGATGCTTCAAAGTGTTTCCCACAAAGTCTGTAGTATCTGAAGAGCTGCTGGGCTGGTTTGTCCTTCAGGTCGGGCCTCTGGCACTGTTCCACCCACTTCTGGGATCTGTGAAGGAAAACATCTTTACAATCACCTTCCTGTAGGGATGCTTTACAAAACACAGTAAACATCTTCCTCATTTTACAGTTTAAACTGCATAAACAATAAATAATCAGAAGTTTATGACAGAAATCTGTAGCAACCTTCAGATGTGCCTGGAGCTGACAGGACCCTGGGTCATCATGATGGTTAGGGTTCAGCTAATATGCATTAATGATGTAATGAAGGTGCAGCAAACACTGCATCTACAGGAAGCTACATGTTTGCTTCACCATTACTTACCTGTTTGGATCTCGTGGAAACCGGAAGAGCGCCTGAAAGTCGGAGGTGCCGCTGGGGCAACCCTGCACCACGCAACCATGCTGCATCACGACTCTAAGGGAATAAAAATGCGTTTTTCTGAGCAGCGCTTCGGAAGAAAGGAACAGATGCTAACGTTAGCTGCTAAGCTAGGCGGCCCACGGATCTCTTTATTCACCGGACTGCTGATTGGCCGCTGGTAGTAGACGGTGCTGTGAAGCCACCGGCCGCCATATTGGTACTCCCTAGTCAGACCGGTCTGAATGTGAACTATGAGCGCTACAGCGTCTCATTTTCAGGGGGGCTTAAGACTTTTAAAATAAAGATAACTTTGTCACACACTTCCTATTTCATAGCATCATTAGATTACTGTAATTTAATGGGGGGAAAAATAGGCACATCACATTTTATGTTCAGTATGAAGTCTATAAATCATGTAATATAACATATTATAACAATCTATCACAATAACATTAGTTTGTTAATGCAGCATAAGAATGTTGTACTTAGATATTAACAGTATTACACACACACACACACACACTATCTAATGATGCGAGAAAAGTGATACATTCTGTGCATGTAATATACAAATGTTTATTACATCGTTATGGCAATTATATATTACATATAATTGGAAGATAGACACACACTCGCTGGCATGTTTATGGCGCGACTCCGTAAGAGAGTACAAAGATGGCGGCAAGTGGCTTCAGTTTTTTCGGTCTATCGGATATCCAATACAAATCAGTGGGTGGAGCTAGAACTGCACTTCCGGTTTTCAGCTTCGAAATAAAAGCCCCTGAAAAACGCATTTTTTGAATCCAATGTAGTTCAACAGGTAGGCCTTCTGCTTTTAGAAATACAGTATTCTAGTTCAATTCAATTAATTTTGAGCAAATATATTTCTAGTAAATTAGGGATGTAATAATTTTAAGTTTTTGCACCTAGAAAGTTGACTTAATGTATGCTAATGCTAGATGTTGAAACATTCTTTGTCTTAACTAGAATGTGCAGGACAAACCTTTTTTTAGTATAAAACTTGCTTTTGGGATGTTATAATTATGCAAAAATTAGTTTGCTGTGTCAATTTTGGATGTTTAATAACTGCATTAAAAAAATTCAAAATGTCTTGGTTTCATTTTAATTTACGATGTCTGTTGATGTATATCCTTCATGAGCCACAAATTGCAGTTTAGTTAACTTTGTAAACAATAATAATTCCTAGGAAATAACACTCATTAAGAAGAAATGAGGAATATGTCAAACTCAATGGATTTTTTTGCAAATGGGGTCGGTTGCAATGTTTTTTATTAATATTGTGAAAATATGTCCCAGGTAATCATATAGAAATGGTATAATTAATTATATGCTCATTGCTGACTGTGACTCAAATTTTCACAAATCAGGAGTTTCCTGTTAGTTGATTCTTAGACAAACAGTTTCTGCATTTTATAAATTGGGAAATTCCTTTTTAAGTATGAGAATCAAATTTCAGGCTGCATGTCTTTAATCAATGTCTTTATCAAGTATTAAGTTAAATTAAGGTTTTAATGATAATTCTAAATTACTGACATGCACATGAAATCTTAATTTCAGAGTCCTTTCTTACTATTCTTTTTCTCACCTAGCTTTCTTTTTTTTTTTTTTTTAGGTTTTTACAGTACTACTGGCTTGTTTTTTTCACAGTAGGCTGACAGGAAGGGGGAGAGGCATGCAGCAATGGACCAAAAGCTGGATTCAAACCCATCTAACCACTGCACCACCTGCACGCCCAAGCTTTCTTCAAAATAGTTTTTTTTTAAATCCTTCACTTGCTCGCTTTTATTCAACTCAAAAATACTGTATTAATCCCAAAGGGCTGGTTAGCTCAAGTGGTAAGTCATCCATCCTGCAAACAGAATTGCTGGCCTAGTGGTCAGTGGTCTTCAACGTTTTCCAGGCTAAGGACCCCAAACTGATAATGAGATGGAGTGGCGACCCCCTAATTATATATATTGTATGAAACTGTGATATGTCAAACTGTTCCTATAATCACTCTATTACTTTTAGAGTCATGTAATGAAAGTAATTTCTCTCTGGGATTATTAAGTATTTCTGATTCCTGGTTGATGGGACAGGTGTTGTGAAAGAAACGGTGCCCAGCTTGAAAGAGCTCCTGTGTGTCGCTGAATGTGTGCATTGATGACTGAAAGACATCTTCTGCCTCCATTTATCTGTTTACTACAGTGTGTTGAATTCATGTTAATGTTGATTTAAAGACATTTCAATTAGTGGAAAAATTGCAGGGGGGAATATAAAAGAAACTTTTGCGACCACCATGCAGTACCCCCATGGACCCCCTAGGGGTGGCGGACCCTCTGTTGAAGACCTCCGGGTTAGGGCATTGTGCTTGGAATCCTGAGGTTCTGAGTTTGAGACCCACTTCCACAGACTGCCACTCTGGGTCCCTGAGCAAAGACCCTTAACCCCGCACTGCTCCCCGGGCGCCGCACAATGGCAGCCCACTGCTTCCCATGGGGATGAGTTTAAATACAGAGAGTTGATTTCGTTTTTCTGTACTTGTGACAGTGTAATGAGACAGATGAGGATCAGGGGCACTAGAAAATAAAAAAGTTAACAGATTTTTTAATTTTATATCAGTATAATATGGGAAATTCTCAGAATTCTGACTTTAATCTCAAAATCTTGGATCCACTGGCCCGCTGTCAAACATGTGAGGGAAGGCCAGTAACACATTGGTGGAAAATGACAGAATTAGGCGACTTCTTACTTGCCCGAGGGGTACCTGGTGATGTTATTTCATTAATGTAAGAGCAGAAGGTCATTAAAACAAGAGAGCTAGTTTAGTCTCTAGACAACAGCTGGATGCTAACATGTTTGTAAACTGTCAGAATCCAGTCAGAATTCTGAGAAAAATCAGAATTCTGACTTCTAATCTGTTAACTTTTTTTTTTTTGTGTGTGGCCCTGATCAGTTTCCGTATAATGAATGGGGGGGAGGGGGTGCAATTATCGTTTTATTTTGAAGGCCAATTGACTTCCGATTGTCTTGGACATAAAAAAAAAAATAAGATTATGTGACGTTAAATTTAGCGCGTGATTTGTTTTCCTCAGAGCCGTTTCTGGTTTGCCTCTTTCCCACACAGCAGAAACATGTCTCGGCATGTTCCGAAGCTGAACTCAACTTCCTACCGGAGTTATGTGAAAAATAAACAAATATAGAAATCCAACCATATTTCTCTGTCAGTAATAATGCCGAGTTTATAGAGTTATGAAGATAACTGATTGTGAACGTTGTAAGAAATGTGCAGCATTAAGCGGTTCTTGTGAATCTGTATAAACCAGTCCGCCATTAGGCTCCTCTTCCCACTTGATTCTACCAGAACCGGGTCACACTGGGTGTGTTCCGACCGGTACCTCAGGAATTCTATTTGGGTTCAAACATTCAAACTGATCTATGAAAGCAGCTCTTAAAGTAACTGTCAGCTGTCGCGTTTTTTATAGTTTGGGGACAAATGATTGGTTAGCGCTATGTTCTCGCGATATTACCCAACCAATCATACAGCAGTAAGCGCCAACTCAAATCAAATACTTTCTCCTGAGGAGGAAGAGCGGCGTGTTTTTGCTCAGATCCTGGTGGTGAACAGCTGCGCTAAACAACCGCTGGAAGGTAAGCGAAGATTTATCTGCCACTTCTCAATTCATCTAAAATATAATGAGTTATTATAATCGCAATTTTCTTTTAGGAGTTAATGAAGGCGAATGAGCCGACTGTTAAAATACCGTTTATTTTGATCCTAGCTGTAAATTAGTGATGGTTGTTTCTAACTGACTGAATCACTAAACTGTGTTTAAAAACTGTCAGCATGATGCATCTGCTAAAAAAAAAAAAAAAATTAAAAAAGTCACATCTTCTGCGGTTTATTATTAAAATTATGAAGAATTTTGGAGCAGCCTAAAAGGAAGTGGAACGTTTCAACGTTTTTATTAAAATTATCTGTATTAAAGTTAATATCAAATGGACTTTTAGTTTACTTACAGTTTTAACTGTACTTATTCTTATAAAAATATGATTTAAAATCCTAGTCCACATGCGTCTTAATTCACATTATCCTCTAAATTTTCACCTTATGAAATATGAACTATCAAGGGTGTAACTTTGTGATGAAAGTTTATGGAGTCCAACTAGTAAAGAAGAACAAACTATGTTTTCTCAAGCTTCTTGCATTATATTACTAACTTGCATAAACTTAAAATCTGTTGCCATTTTTAGCTGTAAATGCTCCGTATGTGTAACTGATTTTATTTTATTTTTTGGTGGCATCTCTAATTTTTTTAACCAACCCGTCTCCTAACTTTTACTTAAACATCAAAATAGCTGCTGGGTAATTTTCACTGAGTGCTGCTGTGCGTCTCTCCTCCAACCACATAGCGACTCTGCACCCTCTGTTATCTTTGGCTAAAGTAAATGAGCGAAAAGGGGGGAAAAAATGTGAAAATTATCAATGGGGACATGTCCACACCAGTCCTTCAGAATGTTATGCCTGTGGTTTATATTAATTATTGGCTGCACCTAGAAATATCAAAGATATTTTCAATTCAAATATAGATATTAAATAATACAATATAACTTAAATGATATCAGTTCAGTTTATTCTGTCCAATAAGCTGCCTGTAGTGTCTTTAAATGTCCAGCAGGTGTCAGTATTCTGACAGAATCCATGCAGTATCAATACAGTTTGGCTTCAAGACGCCTCATTAACCCATCATTACTGTGAATCCATCTAAATACCGATATGATTTTACCCTTATCCTCATTAAGGTTATTGTTTAATTCTTCTGTGATTGTGTTTTTAGGCCACATAATGGAACCTGTTACGATTTCACGGCGAAACCAATCCAGTAAGAAAGTAAGTTTGGATTAAATCATTACTTAAAACGTTAAAAGAAGCTACACTGAGTTCCCAACTGTTATTTCACTTTGGTTTGAACTATTTTTATTTATCAGGGAAACAAGGAGAACACTGAGCCTCCAACTGGAGCCAAGTCATTCATTAAAACAGGCAAATCATCAGTGGTGCCATTCCAGCCCAGAGGCAACAAGAAAGAGGATGCATTGAATAAGAATGATCTTCTCAAAGGAAAGAGTAAACCGATGGATAGGAAGGCAGCGTCTGCAGTGGTTCCAACTAAAGCACAAACGCTCAGACCCGCTGAGGCTCCGAAGCCACCATCAAAACCTGCTCCAGGGATGTACAAAGGCAGGATCGTTCAGTCAAAAATCGGCTCCATTTGGAAGTCCAGTGATACTCTGAATGCAGCAGCAGCTGCACCCAAACCAGAGAGCGAAAAGGTCAGAGACACGGCCAAAAAGAACCGCTCTAGATCCGTAGCTGAGGCTCCAAGGCAAGTCCCCAACAGGCAGGTGCCAATGAGGTCCAAGTCTGTTACTGATAAACCCCATCAGGTGAGCAGGCCTGCTGTCGGCGCCCTCCGTCCTGCTGGATTCTGCTCCACACGGCCTCCTACTAGAACCATCCCTGCTGTGGCTTCCACCAAACCGGGAGGGAATCAGAACACAAAGCCAAAGGTTCCGGCGACTGAGAAGAAAGCCTTTAAACCTGCGGTCTCCAGCACGCTGAGTCAGTACAGAGCCACCATGGAGACGGCCGAGGAAAAAAGGTAAAGTATTAACACTAAGAAAAATAAACACTTCTTTGATTGATTAACTGTTAGTAAAATAAAACTTCCTGTTTCTGCAGAGCAAAGCTGGCCGAGTGGCTGGCCTCCAAGGGCAAGACCCTAAAAAGACCTGCCATGACAACCGTAGCTCCTCCAAAAACTAAGCTTTCCACCAAAGCTACAGTGGGTCCAAAGGTTCTGGGCGGCGTTGAGCTGCAGCTCGCCGCACCGTGTAAAGCTGAACCTGATCCAAGCCTGAAGACGCAGGATCGGGCGCCTGACATCGAAGCTCCCTCTGAGGAAGTTATCAGAACAGCATCTCCAGGGATCGTGAACACCACGCTGGATCTGCTGGACGACTCGGATCAGACAGAGTCTCAGGGCAGAGTAGACGATGTGAGCAGATTTCCACCTCAGCAGACAAAAACATGTTAACCTGAAGGGAAAATAACACGTTTTCACGTTCACAGATTGTTCTGAACCTCTGTGACGCCCTGGAGGCCATGGTGACTCCATCCAGAAGCAGCGATGGTAAATTATTAGCTTACTACTGAGGTTTTCAACTCATTTCACGCTGAACCGCTTTAAATCGATCTCATCCCGTCTTCAGATGCTGAGCTAAAGAGCGACCAATCAGAAGGACGTGGAAGTGAAGAGATTAAGGCTGAGCCGGCCGAAGAGGCGGAAATCGGAGACCTGAAAGTGAAGCAGGAAGATGAGGAAAGTGATGAGGAGGATGTGATGGAGACCACGCCACCAGCTGATGCTTCAATCATCAAATACAGCGTGAAAACGACTCCATATCTGCAAAGGTGAGTCTCTGAACTTTAATGTTTTTAGCTTTTTTACTGTCTTAAATCTTTTTGTTTTTTAACCGCCCCACTCTTTAACTTTTTTAGTGTCAAAAAAACCATTGAAGGCGAGGCCAGCACGTCGCGGAGAAAGGGCAACATCAAAGACCTGAAGTTTCTGACACCCGTGCGCCGCTCCAACCGCATCCAGCGAATCTCCTCCCACCTGCCCTCCATGCTCACAGACCACGACCCCTGCGTGTCGTCTCTGGCCGAGCTGGTGAAGCTGGACGAAGATCCTAACGCCTACATCTACAGGAAGAACCCGGCTCTGCTGCAGGAGCTGCCAGACCAGCATTAAATTCATCTACCGGATTTCCAACCTAAATGTAAAGGACTTCCGCTTTTGCACACTAAACATGGACGTTATTTTACTAACCTCAAGTTTCAATGAGAAACTTTATTTTATTGTTATGAGACTTTGAGTTTAAGCATGATGCAATCTTTAAATGTAAAGCACTACTCCTGTGTTCATGATTAAATGTTTTAGGAAGACTCTAAGATGACTTTAATGCACACTAAGCTAAACCTGTCAGGATGTGGGTCCTGCTCAGACTCTGAAATAAAAACCAGCATCAGTTAAACAGTTCAATCAATCCCAGTTTAATTGATTACACAGTAAAAAAAAATCCAAAGCACTCTTTATTGAACACTGCTTTCAGTTACAAACCCACTGGAAAATTAGACTTCCTGGTATCAGCCTGGATGTTGTGAAACCAGCTTCCTCTGAAGATGGACATTTAGAAACAAATTAACCCCCAAAACAAACGGAAAAAAACCCAAATCACTTTACTGCAGTTTCCTCCCCTAAAGTATAAAAAGTACTGTTTGCAGTCAGGACTCTGACCACATGGGAAGGTGTTCAGTGCTGTAGGCTCAAGGGTAACGTTGGCGTCTGGAGACTTTATGTCCTGGAAAGGCCCCGGTTGTCCAGATCTTTCACCTAAAACAGAAATAAGAAGGTCCTGAGTGTTTGTTTAGGATAAGCCCCACAAAGAGTCGATTTCAGAAGTAAAACCATCAGAGCTGTAATACGATTATCGAAGGAGTCGCTCTAATGCAACATGTTCTTTGCATGAGAACCTGAAAGAATTCTAAGCTGCTATTGCACCAGTAAGTTGAAGTTTTAAATAAATGAATTTTCCCATTGCACCTTGATTTGAGTTC